TGTCTACCCTTAGTGGAGAAGGTACAACACAGGATCCAAAGCTGGAGAGGAAAGACACTTTCATATACAGGTAGACTTCAGCTCATAAAGGCAGTATTTGAACAATCTGAGCATCTATTGGGCTGCTTCTTTCATGCTACCCCACTCTACAATGATGAATATTGACAAGGCATGCAGAAACTTCTTATGGAGAGGACCTGATTGCTCCACATCACATGCATTGTTTAGTTGGGAGGATGTATGTCTACCATTCCAGGAAGGGGGCCTTGGCATCAGGGACATTGTAACTTTGAACCATGCTGCCAATATGAGACATTTATGGCACTTGCTAAGCAACAGGAACAACTTGTAGGTTGCTTGGGTTAAAAACAAGCTAATCAGAGGAAGGAACCTATGGCAGATCAAGATACCACAAGATTGTACATGGAGCTGGAGAAACATACTTCAAGAGAGAAAGGAAGCTGCATACCTAGTGACACATCAGATTGGAGATGGAACAAGCACTAAACTCTGGCTTGATCCTTGGCTTCCTAATGGCATACAGGAGGAGAACTTTCCCCAAGCCTTACTATATGATTCAAGGTATGGCCATTCATTGGGGTTCGACAACAAACTGCTAAAATCGCTATTGTTGTGATGCCTAGAAAGCAGCAAGTTGTTATCAAGAAGTTGATCAATCTTTTGTTTGTGGCGTACAGTGAAGCCATTCCTGAAATAAGGAATTCATGCCCTTCAACAATTCCAATGATTCAAACATGCTCCTAAAAGGGTCGTTCACATAGATAACAAACAAACGACTATATTCGTTATAATGAAGTGGATTCTTTTGTAAAAAACTGATAAGAAAACATAAGAGAGCCCTGGAGAAAACGGAACTAAAATAATCAAATAGTTGATCAAGCATCAAAACAACTTGACGTTGAACAATTACTTTTTTTTTGTTGGTAACAATTGAAGTCCAGTTTCATCAACTAAGTCAAGTGCATAATAAATATGATACTGTCATGCACATAATGGTAAATGTCAAAAAAATGCTAGAGGAAGGGCTTGAACCTCCGACCTTGTGCTTTAAAAGCTACATGCTCTAACTGAGCTACTCCAGCTAAATGCCAAATATTATGTTAAATGACAAATATTTTCTCACCACACATAAGTCCTATGTAGTTCCATTAAACTTCAAAATAATTTGGTTTAATTTCAATCTCAACTATGTAAGAAATACTATGAAGATGCAAAATAGTTTTTGAATGCCCCATGTAAGAAACATAGTATTCAATATACAAATAACTCTTATACTATCAAGTAGCATTAATATGACGCTTTAGCAATAAAGTCTAATTTTAAGGCAGGCAATTTGATTCAGCCTTTATCACAACCCTCAGTCAAAATGTTAAGCAAACCAAGCACACCAAGCACAGTAAAGTGTAAACTAAGATTCTAGAACTTAAATCTCCACTTGTGAATTCGGATTAGAAAAACACCGTAACCAAAGAAACAGAGTATGGTTTTGTTATCACCAGTAAAGAATACAAAATTTCTAGATGTACATGTATCTCAAGAAAAAAAAAATGTGGTAGATCTTTCAGATCTCTCACAATATCTTCCAAGTTTTGTTGTTGAATGAGGCTGGCTTTTATGGCTCTAATAAATTTAATTTGTGAAACAATACGACAATTTTGAAATTCAAAATACACTCACCTTAGATCCAAGCTTTTGTGATGATGTTCCTAGCTGATTATGGACTTGGGAGTGGTGAAAACTGACAATATTCTGCAACAAATAAAAAAACCTCCAAACAAATTTTGGGATAAATAAGAACAACAATATATTAAAAAAACTTTCAAAAGTATGCTTAGACTAACATTTACAAAATTCAAAATACACTAAACGCAGAATCTTAGGTTTTATGTGTGGTTAAATTTTTGTGGTCCGCTAAACATAAATGGCAAACCATTTCAGTGTAATGGGAACATCATCTATTTTTTACTTGATGCTATCACTCATTTGTGGATTATGGTGATTTTCCAATTTGGTTATCTTATGCAACTAAGGAACCATCCAACAAATACAATGGAAGTAATTCATTTAGGCAGGCAGACAAGCACTCGATCTCTAATCTACTATGGGAAGAATAATACCTTGAAACCAAGAGAATACTATGTTGAAACTAAAAGAAAATTTCAACTAAAAATTGGTCAATCTGAGAATTTTAGAATCTTGAAAATATATAGAGATCTAAACCAACATAAAGATCTGAAATTTGAATATTATCCCAGATTACATACAAACCTAGGGAACAATACTTTAGTTGTGAATGGAGGTGTAGGTTATTCGGGCTTGGATGATGATAATTGGCTTTGATAATGTGATTTGATATATATATAATTTGTGTCATTGAAATCAGTAAAGAATACCCAAAAGTCTAAACCACAAAGGTTTGTACAAAACTCAATGGTTTGTACTTATTAGAGCTCAAAGGTTTCTTCTTGTTGTTTGGTTGAGATGAAGACTCATATCAATCCCAACAATCTATCTTCAACATCTTCTGAACCCCATATTAATCTTTATCATCTTTTAATGTAAAAATGAAGAATAACTATTTCGAAAAGAAAAGGCAACACTTTCAACTTAGTGACACATATTCAAATCAAATTCCAACTCCCACTACAAGTATTGTCCACCAGTGATTCTTATGGTGTTGTTGTTCATTAATATAAGTTATCTTGGTTTCACATTGATCTACAGAATAAATTGTGGGTATTGAATGACAATAGTCACTAATAAAGTAGGAACATCATAATACCAAGATCATCAAGTAAAAACAACATAATAGTTACCTGCATTATAGAATCTTTCCAACAATGAGCGCCTTCCTTATATTGAATAAAACCAGCAGCACTGCTAGATGCTTCATCTAAGGCACCAGCAATAGCCAACCTTTGATTCTGAACACAGCGAAGGCCGAAGGGGTTGAGATTTTTTCTGGAAAATATGAAATATAGACAAAGATCATTAACAAATCTTTACCCATAAACATAACTGTTGCACAGTATAATCATGTCAGATGTCTACAACCTATTTTATATAGTCAAGCATGTCCAAAGAATCTAGGGATTTCAAGACTCTTGTCATGTGCTAATCTTGGATCAAACTGAACTTCCCAAGTCCAAGTCAACATCAAATTCATCAACAGTGGCATTGGACAATATAATCATGTCAGTTGTCCACACACTACTTTTATATAGTAAGACATGCTAGGTCTTTCAAGACTCTTGCCATGACCTAATCCTGGGTCAAATTGAACTTCCCTAGATGGCTAGATCAAGTCAACATCAAATTCTACTGTGGCAGTACTACCAGTAACAATCACAAATAGTGTTATTATTAAGTTTAGATATCAGACATAATCACCGGAAATGGTATAGATCCATGCATGACCATGAAATCGTATACACAAAAAGGATTTTGCAAGTAATTGACAAAAGTAAATTAAAAATGCAAATACCTAAAAAATAAAAGAAATATGGCGCAAATGATGTACAAAGTAGTCTACAAATCTGTTCATAATTTGAGCTACTCACTAATAGAGGTAAATGATGAAAAATGCATGTTCTGACAACAATACAATGTACATGTGACTATTTAGTTCAATTGCCCAGATAGAAATGGATCAACTTCAAAAGTGACATTTTTTCTCAGCCACATGAAAAATCAAAAAGAACTATTTCATTATGGTGTCCAAGAAAGATCGAAAAGATACAATGCACTCAACAAAACAAATCTGAGCTATTTCTTTTGAACCATGAAGAAAACAAAGACCGAGTATAATGTTGTATAAAATCTAGGAAGCTAACATCCATGCTCAAATGGTCATCTTTTACTTTGGCTGAAATTATTGGATCCTTATTAAATTATCATACGGTAATTAGCCTAATGCATAGTTTGCATACTACCTTTGGATTAGTGACATCTGACGGCTTGCTAAACTATGTGACCTTATGGCCGGACCTACCCATTAAGTGGTAGAAAAAAGCATAACGTTCCAAAACTTATAAAGAACTTACGGCTTTGCCTACTGCCCAACAAATGGATTCACTACAGAGTACAGATTCCATCAGCATGTTCGCAAGCACCAAATATCTACCATAAAGAAGAGAAATGAATGTAAATGGTTATAACTATTCAAATTATCCTTCAAGTAAAAAAATAATTCACAGTGTCAGACAAACTCTAGGTCTCAATGTGAAGGTGCAACAAACATATTGGAAACCCAAATGTTGACTTTGGATTTGGTTCAGATGATTTCAAATACATGCATAATGTAATGAAAATCGCATGAGATAACCATGCAAATCATTCGACAGTCATGTTTGTATTATATAGTGTCAAAGGTGAAGCTACAGCTCTGCATTGACTCAAATTGTATGTTCAATATAACAAAATAGAATACACAAGAGAAATTACCAAACATAGATACCATTTGTTATGTGTACATGTGAGTGAATTGCAAGCAAACAAAAAAAGGGTATACATAGAGAAGTAAACGTACTTCAGGGACTGAATACGCCGTTGGTTTGCAGCTTCATCATAATTATTAAAAGCTTCAAAG